ATCTGCCGACCCCCCCCCCTAGGCCGAAGTAACTGACCAATCCCTTAACAGCAAACACAGTTTAGGTTCACGCATACGTAGACTTGGCATAGTAGTTTGGCATGTCATTTAGATTAGTGTCAAGGTTTTGAATTGTAGAAGTGAATGGGAGTTTTTCCGCAACAATTGAAATTGCCAAGCTGAGGTTGAAACATGATTTTGGTATTCATTCATTGCCAATAACCTCTACTGTACGAACAATTTGGTTGGGACACCTAAAACGGAAACGTTTGTTTGGAGACTGCAATCGCTTTTGTGTTTATGCAAATGTTCCGTCCCACTTAATGCATTAATATAGCGAACTAGTTTGTGTATTATAAGATATAAGACGTCAATCACAACTCGTTACTATGGTGTTTCAGTATACATGTACTAGTAGCAGCAAAACGATTGGCCAGCGTCTTGTAAGTGCCACGAGGCCGAAGTGTGGGTGTTACACTGAAACGCATCGTCCGCCTGCACGGTGTTGTTTCGTTCGGACTTTCCTCCCTCTGAGTGCTTCGCCATTCACCTTGAAAATTCAAGATGACTGAAACGCGGCTATTCAAGCAATTAATTATTATTAATTTCAGCCATTTGAGCTAGTCTCATTTTGCGTGCCATAAGTTGCAGTCTGTGGGACGAGTTGCAGTCTGCGGGACGAGTTTCAGCCTGTGAGACAAGTTGCAGTCTGTGGGACAAGTTGCAGTCTGTGGTACGAGTTGCAGTTTGTGAAACCAGTTGCAGTCAGCGGGACGAGTTGCAGTCTGTGGGACACGTTGCAGTCTGTGGTACGAGTTGCAGTCTGAGCGACGAGTTGCAGTCTTTGGAACAAGTTGCAGTCTGCGGGACAAGTTGCAGTCCGTGGAACGAGTTGCAGTCTGCGGGAAGAGATGCAGTCTCCGGGAAGAGTTGCAATCTGAGGGTTGAGTTGCAGCCTGCGGGACGAGTTGAAGTCTTTGGAACGAGTTGCAGTCTGCGGGAAGAGATGCAGTCTGAGAAACGAGTTTTAGTCAGAGGACGAGTTTCAAGCTGTGAGACGAGTTGCAGTCTGAGGGACGAGTTGCAGTCTTTGGAATGAGTTGCAATCTGAGGGAAGAGTTGCAGTCTGTGGGACTAGTTGCAGTCTGTGGGAAGAGTTGCAATCTGAGGGACGAGTTTCAGTCTGTGGGACGAGTTGCAGTCTACGGGATGAGTTACAGTATGTGGAACGAGTTGCAGTCTCCGTGAAGAGTTTCAGTCTGAGGGATGAGTTGCAGTTTGTGGGACGAGTTGCAGTCTGCGGGACGAGTTGCAGTGTGTGGTACGAGTTGCAGTCTGTGGAACGAGTTGCAGTCAGCGGGAAGGGTTGCAGTCTGTGGGACGAGTGGCAGTTTGAGGGACGAGTTGTAGTCTCCAGAAAGAGTTGAA